AGCGCTTCCAACTGACAGACGACGCTTTGCAAAACATGTCCAGCTGGCCATTGGTATCCCTGATCAGAGATGGAAAAATAGTTTACCTAAACAAAACAACTTTCCAGGAAAACCTAAAGGAGTTCAGAGAAAACCTGTCCAAGAACGAAACGAAAATGAACGATGTTCTAAACTGGTATACGGCGGTTAACGCCGCCATGTTGGAACATCTGACCAGCGAAATTAAGGAGACTGACAACAGCGGAGTTTGGAGGTAGGTTGTCAAAGAAATCTTCCAGCAAACACAGATAAAGGTTCTATAATGGTTCTTTATCTATTTTGCGTTCATAATGACTTCATTATAACACCGCTTTTGGTTCTTTAATGAGGTACTTTATTCCACCCAAAATTTTGATTTTATAGGTTGGCTACCTATAGGTTATAATATTTTTATGATTTGTTTTCTAGTACTTACGAGACTTTTCTGGCAATAAATTTTGTTTAACACCAAAGAAAATTATTTTTTTCTTCTTTAACATTAACAGCCGCTTATTGTAAATAAGTTAATTAAGGACGGCATGGCGAATCGATTTTGACATTAACTGTCAAACCAATGACTGTGATACCAACTATCTAAAGTAAAATTCGACCAAATTAAATTTAAGGTATAAAATTATTTTTTTTATAGAATATTTGCGAAATAGATAAAATAGCATAAAGAAACTCATGTCATAAGACAATTGACGTCTTATGACATTAGTTCTTTAAAATACTATTAATGTATAAGTATTTGTAATACAAGACAACTATACTTCTTCCACTAAGAATTTTTTTCTTTAAGCAATACAAACTCTTTTAAGTTAAAATATTATTTCTTGCCGCTAAAGACAGTTGACTACTTTAGTTTACATTTTTTCAGTGTATAATTGTGGCTTTATCTTATTTCAGGTTTTTACTGTCCTTCAAAAACCTTCTAAAAAGTATAGAGAACATTGGCATATCCAGCGTATATGGGGTCAATTATTTTGGTAAAGGAAAACTGAGATCTGAGTACTACGAAAAATTTATAAGGCATGATGCTATAGCTAAGGATTTGTTAAATACATCGTTAAATTATGTTGTAAAAATGCGAAGTGATTATGAACAATTCTCCCGCTCAATGCCGAATTATGGAAAAATTAAGTACCAGTAAGTGCCACTACTTCTTGACCTGCTAAACTCAAAAAAAAAACATTTCGTTGATATATTAATTACTGAGATTTTTTTACCTATACACGTAGAGAAATGTATAGTGAATTTTAGATAGTAAAAAAATATAGTAAAATTTACTTTAACAAATTTTTAGGGTAGGTAACAATATTATATATTCGTCAATACCATATTAAGATATATATATGGTATTGACGAATATATAATATTGTTACAAAATAGTATTTTTTATTATACAATTTTAGTAAAAATTACAACACCAATATTACTAAATCACAAATGTATAATATATATTTTAATTTTTAATATGTTCGTATAGTAAATTGGTTTTACTATCTACAAATAGTAATATTTACTATATGATTTAATCAAATGTAAGGTGTACATCTAATATTATAATATATTACACATTAATCAAAAATATAGTAAAAATAAAGATACTTTTATGTTTAAGGTATATAAACAATATATTTAAATATAATATACAATATAGTAACTCATGACATTTTAAACGTTCAATTTTCTTAGTTTCTTGAATAAACTTTTTTGACCCATTACTGGTAATACTTATAAGAAAGAATTGAACCTACTTGGTTGCATAGTATGTACCGATTGCGGCAAAGGCCACGTCGCGACGCGTCGTTAGACGGTGTGGATCACGTGATGTTCTTACATCTCGCCTCTGTTGGCTTACCAACCATGTTATATAAGCTCAGGTATTTCTTTGTTTTGGGTGTGTTCCACTACTACAAGTTGCTCGACAGTGTCGTGTCGACACTGATGATACCAATATAGGTCAAAACACCTGTCAAAACGAAAAACTTTGTGTATTAAAAAGTACAATAAATATGTTACAATTTTTAATTGTTAACATATAAAAATATTCGATTTTATTAAAATATTTTATATTTAAAATGGCAACATAATATTTTAAAATTTACTATACTTATTAGTAATGGAAAAAATCTAATTATAATAAGAATTAAAAACAAAATTGGTTGAGAATAATAATATTTTACCTTAAGGTTTAACATACATGGATATTTAAAAAATACTAAATATGCATAGTATCTGGCAATAGATATACAAGATAGTAATATAAATTATAGTAAAGGGTATTATAATTATGGTAATCAGCATTATACTTTTCTCTCCGTATATTAATTACTGAGATGGGAATTTTTTTTCAATGTTTTTTGAGTTTCAGTGAAAAACAAAAAATCTAATATTATTTTGCAGAACCGACATTATAATTCAAAACAAAAACCGTACCCCAAATTACAACGACGCATTGGTATACTTTGTAGCTATAGCAGGCTACACAGACGAGTTACGAAGGCTGCAAAGGGACTTAAGAATCACCATAAGGTTTTTATCGCGTTCAAATTACAGTTCAAAGCCAATCTAGGAACACTCTGTGTTTTTCTTTCCTAGGGAATACGTTGATGAAAATCTACAGGAAGCTGCTAGTCGCGAAGCTATAGGGATAGCAACTTTGGTGGGGGTGCTGGCGGTATCGCCCGTGATAATTTGGCTGGTGAGGAACGCAGTTGCGACGATACAGCTTTACGCAGCCAATCTGGCCAAAAAAGCTAAGGAGTTGAAAAGGGAGAAGAAAAAAAGTGATTTTCTGCTGTTCCAAATGCTTCCACCCAGTGTGGCAACGCAGCTGAAGCAAACTAGACAGGTAAATGATTTTTAGAAAGTCTTCTGTCAAGAATTTACTTGTAAGCAATATAAAACTCGTTTTAAAGGCACAAATATCCTAAAATGTCAAAAATGATTTAACAATGACAAAAACACAATTAAAATGTCGAATAACACTTAAGAATGTCAAAAACACAATTTAAAATGTAAAACATTTTTTAGAATGTTAAAAACAAACTTTATATAAAAAAACACAGTCAAAAACACATTGTTATTACAATGGAAAAAGACACTTTATTTGAAAAACTATCTTACAATGTTGAATGTTTATGTATATTAAAAACACAATTTAAAATGTCAAACACTTTATATAAACAAAAAACAGTTTAAAGTATACAAACATTTAAGTCAAAAACAAAACCTAAAGAGTCTAAAACTTAAGAATATCAACAACAATTTAAAAAAAGTCAAGTACACGTTTAGAATGTCAAAAGGCTTGAAAGTGTTAAAAACACAATTGAAAATATCAAACACACACTAAAATATCAAAACACACATTACACAATAAAACAGTTTAAAACATTTTAGAAAGTCAAAAACATTTTATAATGTCAAAAACACAATTTAAAAAGTCAAAAATAAACTTGATATAAAAACACATTTTAAAATGTTAAAAACACAATAACAAATGTCAAACATACATTTAATTAAAAAAAAAACTAGATTTATAAAAAATTTTTACAATGTCAAAACGCTTAAATGTTTTAAAAAAAATTAAAATGTCAAACAGTCAAAACAGGTCAAAGAAAGTTAAAAACACAACACAAAAACAAAATAAAAAATGTCAAAAATAAATTTAAAAACGCAATTTATCAAGTCAGTGTCAAAATTTAAAATGTCAAAAATTTATTAATAATAATATTTGATGTTCAAATCACAATTTTATTTCTTAATCGATACCTACGTAAAACGTGCAATTTTTAAAATTAGGAAGTGAGGTTAGATTCTTCTGACAGATGTGGAATTTTTTTATTGGTCCAAGGTAGTAAATAAAAAACTTTTACGGCCCAAGCCACCTTTGGTTTAAATCATTTTTAAGTGCCTAGACCACAATTAATTATTTTATTAATGAATATAAATTTATGTTAATAATTTTTTTAGGTACCAGCGGAATATTATGCTTCTGTAACTATATACTTCAGTGATATTGTTGGGTTTACCGAAATAGCAGCTGTAAGCACGCCGTTAGAGGTATTTTTGATAACTTTCCCTAGCCTCAATTTTTTTTAAACATATTATTTCAGGTGGTAACTTTCCTCAATAAAATCTACAAACTTTTCGACGCCAGGATAGAATGTTATGACGTTTATAAAGTCGAAACCATAGGTGATTCCTATATGGTGGCATCAGGACTACCAGTGAAAAACGGTATTTAGCAAGTAACACTCAAAGAATAGCAAAGTTGATTTCGTTGTTTAAGGCAACAAACACGTGACAGAGATCGCCAGCATGGCCTTGGACCTTCTGGCAGGCTCCACGCAGTTCAAAATACCTCACAGGAAGTCGGAAAGGCTGCAGATCAGATCTGGCGCCCATACCGGTCCGGTTGTGGCCGGTATAGTGGGCTCCAAAATGCCCAGATACTGTTTGTTTGGGGATACGGTCAATACAGCGTCCAGAATGGAGTCTACAGGCGAAGGTAGGTGAAAGACCCATAGTGATTTTTACTAACATTACTTTTAGCCTCCAAAATTCATATTAGTTTGGAGATGAAGAAGGCACTAGATAGTATAGGGGGTTACAGAACGGAGCATAGAGGTCTGGTTGAAGTAAAGGTAATGGAAGTTTTACTTGGTACACCTATGTACATAGGTAGCTGATCCCTTTATTATTTCAGGGCAAAGGTCTTTTGGACACCTATTGGTTGACCTGTAAAGAAGGAGGGATGAATAGAACAGTGGAAATGGAAACACCAGCCTATTTCCAGGTATACCTCAGAGAAATTGTTTTCAACCTAAATTCAAATTCTTGTACATGTTTCAGGAGGACGAAGACAACGAGCCAGTATTTATAAAAAGGCTACGCAGTGATACGTATTACTAATAAAAATACTAAATGTGTTAAGTGTCATATATGTTTTAAAGTTTACATGTTTAGCTGATAGTGATGAATGTTTGTGAAATAAATTTTTTTAAATGAGGCGTTTTTGTTCCAAGTATTTCACGTCTTTATCTGTCACAGGTTGCTTGAAGCTTTCTTCGAGATTAAGATGCTTGTTGAAGGCACACCAATCTATTAGAAGACTTGGATCAGCATCTCTATCCAGACCCCACCATAGCTCACTCTAAAACAATCTTCATAGTAACGTTTACTTTTTAAGATGTTATTGTTACCTTAACATTCACTGGAATGACATCTGGAGGAGGGCATATTCTCCTATCCAGAAAGTTCAACACATCCATATAGTAAACATTACATTGTTCATCCTTCTTGGACACCTCCAGCATTTTATCAATGAGATTGTTATCGAACGGTATTCTGCAAGCTTTAAGAACGGTATACACATCTTTTTGCGATAGAAGACCGGTTCTTTCAGGGTCCCTCTGCATCAAGTACTCCCGTAAACGCACCCAATCATCCCACAGAAACCTTTTGAGCTCAGTTAACGCCAAGGCTCTCACTTTTTCCCTGTCGTATCGTTCCTTGGTGCAAACGGCCGAAAAAGCTCTGGCTATGGTGATCATTTCGTGTTCTGTGAAATCTTTTCCCATGATTCTACACAACTTCGACCTAAAAGTATCTCATATCATCATCATCATCTAGATGATGATGATGATATGAAAAACCTTTCTAAATAATCTACTAACACTGTTACCTTAGGGCATCATATGAGATAGTGGGTGCTTCATTCGGTATATTTTCAGCAACGAAATCCTTGTAGATTGGCACCAATTTATCCCGAACTTTTTCCATGATGACCTCAATGTTAGCCTTGGGATACTAAACAAAAAAATACATCAATCTAATATACTAATTCTTAATAACTTACTATTGTTGGGTTTAACTCCATGAACCTCAACGCGTATTCATCGGCGTTGATCAGGACGAATTGGAACCCGTTTATGATCAACGTAGCCCCTATGAACATGTGTTGGGGTGTGTAGTACAAAGGGGCTTCGCTGCTGAATACCCTTTGACCTGGCAGCTTAACAGGGCATCTTTGAAAGAAGCACGACGTCTTGAAACCTTGGACAAAAGTTGGTTATTTATGGTTATGTGTTTTGACGTTTTGATGTACCTGAATTATCTTTGGCTATTTCATTCACTTGAATGGTGTCATCTGTGAGAAAGTAGGAAATAATAAATGACCTGGTGCAGTTGATATCGTTTTTGGAGACCAAGCGAGCTTCAAACCGTAGGATGTGGCTGTCCATCCCGTCTCTATCGTAGGAGAGAAACTTTTTGAAGTCTCTATGAGGCGCTTTCGGCTGAACCGATATGCAGTTTTGCACTGTGTCCTCGTAACTCCCAAAACCATTCCAAGGCGGGAGTTTACGCTCCTTGGCTACAATTTCTATTTTGTTTTTCGGGGCGTCTATTGGGATTAACTCTTCCAGACCGTAGTTCTTGGAGAAGTAGTCCTTGGTGAACATGTCGCAGTCTATGATTACTATGTTGCGACCGTAGCAGTTCAGAGTACCGCCTATGCTGAAGTCTTTTTCCGAGTAATACTCGGTAACTTCTTTCCCGCAATCCAGTGGGTCCACAGTGTATCTTTTGTTGAAGGACTGGCCCAACACGTTCAGTATGGTGTTGGGTGCGTCGCATCCAGGCGCGGGTAGGCCTTTGTACACTTTGGGAAGCTTGGTGCGCTTTAAAAAGCAGAAATTCGGCAACCCAGACGATTCTTCATGTTTCTCGTTGATTTCGACGGTGTCGTCAGCTAGATAGAACAGAACTTCTAGGTTGTGGATGTAGCCGAACTGGGTCTTTCTGTCGTCCCAGTAGCACTTAAATCGTAGGACTTTTCTGTCGTTTTCCAGGAATTTCCCGCGGATGTCCACCGATCTGTTGGGTTTTTTGGGCTGCGTCCCATCCCCCTCTGCCTTTCGTTGCTCCAAGTACGGGTCGCTGGGTTCAACAATGGGATCTGGGACGGCTATGCCGCATCTGTTGAGGAAGTTCCGCGTGAACTCATCACACTGGGTGATCTTGAACACTCTCCCGTAGAACTCAACTTCTCTGCCTATGTTGAAGTCCAGGATGTCGTAGAAATTCTCCGACATAGGGTCGGGGAACCTGATTCGCGACCGAGATATCAGGGTCCCTTGAGATATGCCGCTGTTCTTTACTTTCGGTTCTATGACCTGTATGGTGCCGTCTTCCAGGTAGAAGAAGATTTTAACTTTGCGCACTATGAAAGGTGCGGCTCGATACTCTTGAAGGGTTTCTTGAAAAAAACCCTCGAAAACCAGAATCTATAAATGAAGTGTTTTATTTAATTACACTATGATTATCTTGTGTAGTTTGGTGATATGAAAATTATAATATGGTGTTTATAGGTGTTTTTTATTATATTGACATACTTGTTTATCAAAACACAACCAAGCTGGGATTTCAGTAGCTTCACCTCTAGGATATATGGAAGGATACTTATCGGATAGTATACCCAACATATTGGGCTTCACTTTTTCCTTTAGAGCTCTTATACCAGGTCCTAAATGTTCGAACTTGGGGTCCATATTGAACTTGGTCCTGCCCAGCTAAAGATTAAAATTATTTTTTCGTTTGTATTTTATGGTTTTTGTATGCTTACGTTACTATTAAAAGTGAACCCGGGCAAAAACGGTAAGTCTGGACTTCGGTAACACATTTTTAAACACTTCTTGTAGAAAGATTGTATGAAATGCAGTTGACAAGTTTTGTCAATTATTTTGTAACCAAGGGGGAAATCAATAACAAATAAAACATGTCACCACAAACACAACATTTATTTTCGGAAAAATGTTACACAGTGATCAAATAAAATAAAATAAAAAAATCTATAAAAATAACAACAATGGGACGGATGTGAATACCTAATAATTATTAATAAGATCTTAACACTAGAGACGTTGTTAAAAAAATATAGGCACTTGAACATTTGAACATCGATATGTGCGAAGTCTGGCAACGCTGCCTGAGCTCCATCTACCTAGCGCTGGAAACCGCCTTCTAGATTTACCACGCTCTGTTGAATAGCAAGCAAACTATGGCTGATATGGTGAAAGCCAGGAGTGGACTCGATGGTTTAGGGGCGGAATTGTAATCGCAGAAGCCCATGTTGCAGTTGTCTACGGTGTACTGATATTTCTGCTTCACTACGTCCCAGTTGCACAGTCCCACTTGGCATTCTGGGAACTCCACGGGCTGCTCGTTGAGGTAGAACATCACCTTGTAACTGTTTGATCTGCACCTGGAAGAAAGTTTTTTTTCTCTCTTAAGAATAAGTCTTGGTAAGTCAGACTAATAGCAAGATTTGGGAGTCTTTTGGAAGACTTTTTAAGAGAAAGTTTAAGGGCGGTCGTTGTTTAACTTTATACTTACTGGTACAAAACCGCTACCAAGTTGGATGCATAAGGTAGAATATTAGATTGCTTCCACATTCTTCTAGTTTGCTGGTAATAATTATCAGCCCTTAAGGGCTGTGGGTCCTTAGCTATACCCATGGCGGATAAAGTGGCCGCTATGGTATCCGAATGCGTGAATAGGAAGGTGGCTTTGTTACCATCCCCATAACCATCAACCGTCTTCTGGAACCTTTCGTACATGTCTTTGAGAGGTCCACAACCAACTTTCTGGTTTATCTCGTTCCCGTAACCGGCCTCGTAGTAACTAATCAGATCCTCAGCGTACTCCAGCAACTTGAGTTGGTTCTTGTTGAACGCCGAGCACCATGGCGACGGTTTTAGCACGTTCCAAGCCTTCTCGAATCGACACATGTCGTACATGTCGTCTACGATGCTGGCGTTCAACGTGTACCGGAAACCTAGACGTTTGAAGACGTTGCTCACCAACTCTCGGTACTCTGGTCTTTCGGTGAACAATCGGTGCTGTTCGTAAGTTCTCGGGTTGTATTTGACCTGCTCCTTGTATGCTCTGCACGTGTCGAAAGCCTAGAGAACACAGTTATTATTATTATTGATTATATCAGATATGGGTACTTACTTTTAAAAGTCTATCGTCTGGGAAAGACGTGCCATGTACCCTGTACGATTCTTGATTGAACAAGCCGTCTATGTAAGCTTGGTAACTGTCGTGGGTCCTGTCGGTGTCTGTGTATTGGAACTACAATAAAGACCATAATGGCAAAATATGATTAAGAAGTTGTTTCTACTTACATAGTACGACCTTTCATTATATTGCTCTTGTAAAACTTGTGGGAACTTGGCCTTATACCTCCTAGCCAACATCTTTAATTCGTTGACACCCTCACTAGTCAAATCACTCGCTCGATCTTCTCTGATAGTGTCGTTCCATCTCCACCTAAATTAAAGTATAGGGCGATTAAACTGAGATATAAGTTGAAGTATTTTTATACAAAATTTCATAAAGATAAGTAAAGGCGTTTTAGAGTTTATGCGTTAATTTTGACGGGCAGTGTAATATATTATTTAAAAATTTTTAGTTGGTGTAATATTTACTGTAGTACCTAATACTATTTTAAATTTGAATTTCGCGCGTTGGCAAAACTGATAAAGTTGGTAGCAACGAAATAAGAAAATATGGAAGCAGAGATGTATGGAAGTAAAAAGTTAAAATCATGTCGTTTGTAAGTGTTATTTTTGTTCAAAAGGCCATTCCCCAGAATTTTGAATGGTCCACGAACGTGAAACACCCTGTATATACTGTGGTTTTATGCAATGAATTTATAATCCAATTCGAGAAAAAAAATTGTTTTGTTCAAATTTTGATTTGGATATTCCTAAAAAAACCTTTATAACAGATCTTACCTTTTGAGTAAGTCATAATCCTTGGGACACAACCTGCCTTTGTCGGGGTAGGATCTCCTCTCCTCGTGATTTTTGACAATTTCCTGCTGAATTTGCTGCAATTTACGTAAAGCTTCGATCGTCCTCCTGCCAGGAAGTCGTGTCCCGTGTCTATTTAAAGACCACATTTGGACAGGGGTGCAATCTAGAACAACACGAAATGTTAAGCTTGTCTGTCTGTCTTGGTTGAACTTTTCAGACTTTATTGATTTACTAAGTGTTCTATTTTTGTATAATGATTTGTGTCTAACTAACCTGGGATGTTGTGCTGGAATCCAGACCTCTTATCCAGGGCTTCATAGGAAGTTTTGCTGGCGAAAAATATGTACGGCTCCCTATCATCAGTATAGCAATACTCCTCGCAACACTCAGTATTATCATTGTTGCCAAATTGCCTGTTATTACCATATTGCTCTTCAAAGTTCCTATCGCTGTTTGTATTAAATCTGTCGTTGTTTGTGTTGTATCTATCATTGTTGTTGTTGTTGTTATATTGGTTGTTATTATCATATTGACGATTGTTGTTGTTGTTGTCTAATTGTCGGTTATTGTACTGTGGGTTGTTATTCCCGTATTGCTGATTGTAGTTGTTGTTACCACTACTAAAGTTATACGTGTTATTATCTCTGTTGTATTGATTATCATTATTATATCTTTTATTAGGGTCATAATTATTATTATTATTATTATATCTATCCCTATTATTATTATTATCGTATCTCTGGCTGTTATTATTTCCATACTGGTTGTTCCCATACTGATCTCTATTATTTCCATACGGGGTATTCCCGTATTGGTTATCCCTGTTATTAGAGTTATTATCTCTATTGTAAGGATTCTGATCCCTATTGTACGGGTCATCCCTGTTGTACTGTGTACCTGTGTTGGGGTTATCTCCGAACTGTTGGCAGTAGACAGCAGCCATTGCTGCCAGTAGCAGCAAAAATCGCTTCATTTTTATCTGAAAAAAAAAACAAGGATTTTTTTAAATAAAATCATGCGTGTGTTTAAATTTTGAGTAGAAGTTTTCAAATTTTTTAATAATAATTCATTATATAGCAAAAATAACTCACAGGCAAAATAATCGATACACACAAATTTTCGATGAATTTCAATCGCAAATAACTTTTTTATTTGATGTCGGATTTAAACGATTATTAAAGAATATTGTAGATAAATTAATGGACAATCGCTCACATTTTAAAAAATTACTGAAAAATAGACGTACGTTTATAATATACAGGTTTAAACAAAAATATGTTTTTTACCATAAGTTTAAGACACTCTGTAGAGTGGCAAAACCGTTTATTGTTCTAAATTAAGTTTTATTTATCAAGTCACATCTATTCTTAACAGTTTTGTTTTTAGTTTACCTCGATATATTTATTTTTGTGGAAAATATGGATTTTTTAAAAAAACATTTCCAATATTTTTCTGTATTTTCCTGTCCATCCATAGCCTATGGAGGATGACAGTGACAGTTTTGTTGAATCATCCCCCAAGAAACAATTTAAGTATTTGTTACGTATATGGGACTATTGAAGAAACTTTAAAGTGTTTTGCGACAGTCGCCGGTCTCTTTATATTACTCTTTCGTTACTAAGTTACGACTAAAGTGGGGAACAATTATTGAGTTCCAAAAAGGTAACAAATATGTCACTAGCTAACCCTGCTACTATTTGGAACGTAGCTGCTACGTTACTAGAACGTTCCAATATCGTTGCAAGAGCGTTATAATTACTTTTATTTATTTGTTTTTACTTCTATATTAACTGTCTTTGTCAAACTTATATTAGATTATACTATCCCTCCTTTTTTAAATGGAACCACTACGGACTTGGCTTTTCAATGTCGTCGTTTATTAAATATGTACTGGTAGTTTATAACTTCCAGAATAACAATATAATGTTTAATTAGGCAGGTAAATTTATAAACCCTTTAAATTTTACTGTTGAACTTATGAATTTAGTTTTTGTAAAATAAATGCGCTTTATCAATATTTAAGTATACAGAAATTATTTATTTAATAATGTTTAAAAATAAAAAAATCTTAATATTTATTATTAATTTTTTTATTTAATTATTAATACCGACTATTACCAACAAAATTATTATTTATTAAAAAGTAAACAACCATTTACAAACAATTAAAATAATTTATTATTTACATTACCACGTGGTACTGTACAGTAAAAAATGGCCGATAAGAAGCATTTTCCTTTGAAGTAGTTTTCGCTACTTTAAAGTTTTTTTCACTTTACGGTTGTTTTGGTTAGTACCATAAACGTTCCAAATACTAAAATAATAACTTTTAAGTTATTAACTTTGTAGTTTTTAACTCATGTTCCAGTTTCGAGATTTTAACTTGCAAAGGGACTACAAAGTAAAAATAATTATAATGTAATCTTTAGGTAGCAACCGAAAGTAAGTGCTACAAATTAAATTTACTTGAAAGTTTTTTTTACTTATAACACCTTTTTTAAAGTTGCAAAGTCTTCTTGGGGGCAACCAAGTTTTACTTAAATGTTTATTACTTTATAGTAACCATTTAAGAAAAAATTAAGTTTCTGTTACAAAATATTGCTATTTAAAAGTTAAAATTACTTTTAAGTAAAAATTAAAGTAGCTGTTTAGTATACTTAACTAATTTAAAGTTATCACCACTTTGGCAATGGTTTTTGGAACCAAAAATGCTGCTTGGGCCCATACTTGGACATGTCATACAGCTTTCAAAAGCTATCAAATTGTTTTTTGCAAATTAATATTTAAATTTTGAGGTGTCTTCTCACTTTAAAAAATGGATATGTCCCCGACTGATGTTGCCAGAGCCATTAATTTAATCCAGGATGGACGGTCACAGTATTACGTGGCAATTGTTTTAAACGTCACAAGAAGTAAAGTACAAAGGGCAACATCAGTCGGAGACATTTTTAAAAGTAAGAAGACACCTCAAAATTAACACAATAATTTACAAAAAAAATTTGATACCTTTTGAAAGCTGTATATGACATGTCCAAGTATGGGCCCAAGCAGCATTTTTGGTTCCAAAAACCATTGCCAAAGTGGTGATAACTTTAAATTAGTTAAGTATACTAAACAGCTACTTTAATTTTTACTTAAAAGTCACTCCATAGGCTATGGAAGGACCATAGCAACCTTAGTTCTTCATACAAGAAAAAATATTGGAAATTACAATGTTTTTAAAAAAAAAAATCATATTTTCCACAAAAATAAATATATCAAGGTGAACCAAAAACAAAACTGTTAAAAATAGATGTGACTTGATAATTAAAACTTAATTTAGAACAATATACGGTTTTGCCACTCTACAGAGTGTCTTAAACTTATGGTAAAAAACATATTTTTGTTTAAACCTGTATATTATAAACGTACGTGTATTTTTTAGTAATTTTTAAAATGTGAGCGATTCTCCATTAATGTACCTACAATATTCTTTAATATTTGTTTAAATCCGAAATCAAATAAAAAAGTTATTTGCTATTGAAATTCATCGAAAATTTGTGTGGATCGATTATTTTGCCTGTGAGTGTATTAACTTAAGGCTACAACGAAAAAATATATGAGGTATAAAAACAAATAAAAATAACTTTATTTTAATTTTTTTTTATAATTTTTAAAACTAAATAACAAATGGCAATTAGTTAGTTTTTTGTTTTAATTTCTTCTTTGGTTAAGGTATTAGTTTAATCTGTACCAGTAACAGGCTGAACTTTCCTCAATATTGTATCTTTATAAATCATCAATATATTTGCTAAACATTCATTTTTCTTACTTTCTTCAAGAAATTTTCTTGACCCATTACTGGTAATATTCATAAAAAAGAAATGAACTTGGGACATCCAGTATATTTAAGAGCGGTTTTTTATAAATGGGGGTATCCACACAACATATTTATTTTTAGTAGGCTCAAGTTAAGTCATTGCCACGCCCATTTCGTAGGGTACGCCAGCGCGTGGTCACGTGACTCACTGAGTAAAACGACACAGAATCAAGTGTGCGACGAGTTTCGAATAACCTAGAGACAAGGTAAGACGCCAAATGTTTTTGTTTTTGTTTCTGTTAAGTTTTGTTTAATACAGGGTGGCTGGATGAATTATTATTTTGTTTGACTGTGCGAAATATAAGTTTTTGTGTTATTATTAATAAAATAATTTTTTTTTAGATGGCGAATATAATAAACAGTATAATATGGCTAATAATCTTGATTTTGATATCGTTTTGGTTGGCATGTTTCTGTGCAGGATTTTACATTATAGTGCACCCCTTAAGTGTGTGTATCCCTCCCCTTAAGGTAAAAAAAAATAAAATAAAAAAAAATATTTTTTTTTAATGTTTGTTTATTTCACAATTAGTCACTTGGCGACTTACTACTACAGGGTGTTCAATTCCCACATTATTGCGCCGAACAAATGATGTCTGGAGGATCTTTGGGATAAAAATGGTCCAAGTGAAGTTTTTGCATGTACAAAATGTGTTCAAATATTTATGTTATTTTTTATATTAATCTTTTTATCTTTTTAATTATTTATATGTCACTTAATCTTATAAGCTTATAAGCATTGTTATGATAACTACTAAATAAAATTATACGAAAGTAAACATCTTAAGTGAAACTATTTACTTTTTTTATACTGACCATATCGTTAATTGTAGAAATACGTTTAAAAATAAGGCCATCACTTGACCCTATTTAAGTTGAATGACCTTTTTTAAAGCCCAAACCACACCTTATATCTTCTATTTTTATATCTTACGCACTCTTTTTTATGCAGTAACTCACATATATTTCCTTTAACATATTATCGACAAACATGATAATAACTACTCTAAACTTAAAAATAAACAATTGTTAAGCACTTGAAGTTAATGATTGTTAAGAAAAAATAATAATTTGATTATTTCAACAATTTATTATTAAGTTTAGGGTATTTTTTTCCATATTAAATTTTCTTTTAAAATATGCAAAAATATACAGAATGTCTTCCCAATAAAAAAAATAATTTTGTGAATTTTGCTTTTTTGTTTTCACCACTTAAATCAGAGGAAAAAATGCTACCAATTTGCTACGTTCCTAATGATACATACATTTAAATAAATATCTATAAATTTTGCAATTGTTTGTAATAATGACAAAATTTATTTTTATCAATTCATCTTAAATTTGTGATTTTTGACCTGAAACCCCCCTTAAGCGCCCACACGGAAAGACCCCTTAATAATGCATTTTGCGGATAATGTTGTCCTTGTAACAGGTGACTGTTTGTGTATTACATCACAAGCGAAAATGGTGCAATAAATGAATTGGAAAACATTTTTAGATTTCATTACCTACATACATACATAAAATTTACATGTGTTGTTTTCCATATTTATTTTTAATTTTGGCAAATGCCACTGTTTGTATAAAACTTTTACCTCTTAAGTTTGTTTTGATTGTAGTCTATTAATAGATGAGGATTCACTAAAGGTCAAAGTAATAAACAAAAACGTTAAAAAAGAAAACTTATAATTTTTAACTAAGGAGAAAAATGTTTATTATGTATCACGTTTGATAAACGCATCTATTATTTTTAAAAATATTTTTTTTTATTTTATGTTATTTTTTCTACAAAAATCGAAATTTACCCCTTGAAAATGGACTAAGAACCGTTTAAAGTTGATATAGAATCAGTTTTTTACAGTGAAAGTAAAGAGGATGATTTATGGGTAGGTACTCGACCCAAATAATAATGCTTTACCTACAAATACTAGTTTACCGGCGAAATAAAAAGCTTAGTACCTACAAACATACAAATAAACTTTTAAAGATTGGCAGCCAATCATTGGCTAGAATAATAATTTTGTATGTTTTTATTGAGATAATAAAATAATTTCCACATTTATTCACAAGAAGGCCACTTTATTTTGACAATTGTATGACATTTGACAACTGTC